GTTCTAACGTCTAATTCCACAAAAGAATCACCTGATTTGTCTCCCATCTCCAGTCCGATAAAGTGTGCGTTAGACCCATTGTTTTAATGTAACGATAGTTAGTTCATCCACGGAACGCGGACTGGTGTCAGGATGCAGTGTGTGCTGTACATTTCCAGCCCATCATCACTCGGTTTAAGTGCCGGTGTTCGCAGCCTGACACCCATCCATTAATAACGCAGCACATCAGGGTTGGAAGTGCTGGGATCCCACAGCTTTCAAGGCTGGACCATCTCACGCCACCAGAAGAGGGCGGAGACTTCTCACTCCATAATTATCCTTCTTAACATTTTAAATATTGGAATACGACAAGACTTCCAGGCATTCTGCTAATAAGTGGCCTTTACACATGTGTGCTTGTTACAGGAAAGTCATCGCGCAATATTTGGCTAGATATTGCGTGATTTACGCGCGCCGTTTTGGAGATTTAGGGGTAAAATGGGAGGCAGAGAGGGGAGGAGAAAGAAAGGGGGACGCACGGCGCTGTGCGTGCGCGTACAGAGGCGACAGTGAGTTTGTGCGTAACGTGCGCACGGATGGATAGTTGCCAAAACCCTCTGTGGTCCGACTGGTGAGGTGACAGCACCTCCCCGCCCTCCTCCCATGTGAAGGAGAGGGAGAATCAGGCAGAAGATCCTACCGGTTTTAACGGAAACTGTTATTAATCCGTTTCAGCCGCAGGCAACGTAGGCGCACATGAAAGGTCTGGCACTCAAAAGAAACAAGACAGTTTCTGAAGTTTTGCCACGTAGCTGATGTGCACGTGGAATATATTTAGCTTTTGACAGCTGTCATGTTCAAAGGACACATTTAAAATGTCATTGTGGGAATATTAATGTGTTTGGTTGTAGAAGACGTGGTGTAAGGCATTATGTGCTACGTCCTAATGTAAATCTATGACTCCCATTGACCTCTATTCTGAGTATAAACAGGTTCAAGATAAAGCACACACTGTTGTATGCTCTTTGAAATGTGACAATGACCAACCAATAATGTCAGCAAACGCAAATATATATTTTTTGCGCAACTCTGGATAAGTAAAGGGCATTAAATACGTTCTTCTACTCTCTTGCACAACCCACTGTGTCTAATATCTTTTCTGCCTTCTCCTTGCAGAGTGCCCACATACCCAAGGCAACAGAGAGAGGTCCACATGACGGTAGGTGTCCCACATGGCACCGTGGGAATACAGCCTGCACTGGGCTCCCTGGCTGGCACGCATCCAAACACAAAAAGAGCTGCTCTGATGTTCACCTTGATAGTAAAATTATCGCCTCCTAGTGGCCTACGTTATAGCTTGACCCTGTCCTTACTTTTACCCTTTTAGACTCGCATTATTAATAAAAAAATAGTAATTATATATATATATATATTAATGACTGTGTGTGTGTATTTTCTAGGGTGTGTCAAAATAAACAACAACAACAATTTTAACAATTATACAACATTTGAAAGAGACTAATAATGAGGTACCTTCAAATGAAAAGGAAACGTGTTTTGTGTTGCTAATAAGAATGTTGTCATTTACACACCCTGCTGGGAAATGTTACGGTTTCACCTAAGTACCATGAGCTTAAAATACCATCTAAAAATATATTTTTTTAAAACATGCAACAGAAAAATTTAAAACATGCATATTTTGTTTTTATATATACTTTTTTTTTTTTAAATACATAAACCTGGTGCTCATTTTTGACAAAGGCAGTCGACTCGGTGCAACTTTGTTACTTCCAACGACACAATGTACTACGTTTGTGGCCTGATTTGGTGGAAATATAATTATATAGATGCTATAATATTTTATCAAAGTCCCCACTCCTCTTTTTGTGTGAGATTAACTAGGGAGAATTTCCAGACTCTTTTATAAGATGGAATTTCACCCTCTTGGCTTAGAGTTTCTTTTGTACACAACCCCAGTATTACCCAATCTGATTTGGAGAATCAGGCGCTGAACTTCGTGACATTGTTCAGCACAGTCTGTTTGGCTTGGCTTCCCAGAGGACTGTCAGACCAGGGCCTGCTTTAGTCTCAGTGATGTTCACAGTGATATTTTGGAGGTGTTGTCTGCCTGTGTGCACATATGTTTCCCAAGTGCAGAACTCCAGCAAAGACAGAGGGAGGCTAAAGGTGAAAGAACAGTCTAGAGGCTATTATTGTACAGCTGTCGAACAGTAGAACAGAGGTTGAACTATTAAAACAAGACTTTTTGTTACAATTATGCAGATCGTAATAATTGTAAGGCACAATTTTGGAGTCATTACAAAATAATCTACAAAGGGATAGTCTATAAGAATTCCATTCCAAACATGCAAAACTATAAATACATTTCTGTATTTGCGTACATCTTTCCAAACTTGAAGACACTAATTATATGACATAAAATGAAATGCAGCTTAAAACAGGAATCATAAACATTATTAGAGTAAGAAGATGTTGCCTCCCCCTTGTGGCTCTGAATTCACAACAACAATAATTTTGTGTGCAGTGTTTTTCGGTACATTTAGGTACATGTAAATGAAGAACTTACAGTAACATTAGAACTGATGCATCAGCTCCAATAGAAATTCTGCAAGTAGGTTAATCTCTATTTACTTGTGTAAACCAAGGTTACCAGGTGCTTTCTTAATAACAAAAAGTCAAACATGTACATACTTGTGTGTGAGTGATTCTCATCTTCATTGTAACAAATTAGAGAGCCTGCCAACAACTTTAATCCATGTCCTCCTCTGTTACTCTCACAATAGTTTAGTCTGGAGCTTCCCTTCCGTTCTTCTAACAGTCACATGTTGTTTTCTGTATTACAGTGGTTCCTTTAATGGAGGTGTTCAACAAAAGCTTTTGCCAGCCTCGGGAGTTGCTGGTTGAAATCCTGCAGGAGTATCCAGATGAGGTAGAACACCTCTTCATACCGTCCTGTGTGGTGCTGACACGCTGTGCGGGCTACTGCAACGATGAGATGCTGCAGTGCATGCCAACAACCAGCCGTAATATAACAATGGAGGTAAGCGGCCTTGTTTAGTACTGCAATACTTCTAAAGGGTTAAGTGCTCAGGAGAGCGGTCATGAAAATAGAGGTGGCAGCAGCTTTCCTTTTCTTAAGTTTGAAAAATTGAAACCCTTTACTTTCCCAGGATGTGCCTGGGTCTGAAGAGAACACTTTTGACCTTTGTTATTTTGCCCAAATTTAAAGAGCAAAAGAGCAAACACACCATTGGCTGGTCACATGTTCCTCTCAATGGTCTCGGAACATCCAAGTGTTCTTCAGCTTGGTGCAGTTTAAGTGCCTCTCGAGTCAGTCTAAGTG